TGACGTTACACTCGAATACATGTCTAATTAAGTGGGCTGGGTGTTCGTAATTTCACGATTGCCATGGAAATGTCACTTGACGTTTGCTTATAAAAATCCGTCTTTGTGAATTAAACGATTTCCGTTGAAAAAGATAATACACCGTCCATTAAAACGATTGTTGTAAAATCTAAACAAACGTTGATAGGTGTAAAATCCAACTCCAGTAAAGCCTATTATAAAGAATATGAAAAATTGTCTCCATGGATGAATAGGAAGTTACGAATACAGTCTTAAATGCATCCATAATGCTGGCATATATGAAGGAAATGTCAAAGGTATTTAAATCTTCTATATTTTGGTGCATTCATTCAAAACTTTAAAGCAATGCTGCGATTAAAAAGTGGAACAGATTTGGAAGCATACCCTAAATTACGCGCGTTTGTGAAAGCTTCAACCAAAGGATAGGTACAAAAGCCAAAGAGATGTTCTGCATTTACAGAAAGCGACCTAAGAGGATTTTTTTATTTCATCCAGATGACAGTTTCAAAAGTCATACTTGAAGTATCGTTACTTAGCAACTTTAAATCACGTGTGTTTTAAAGGCCCTTTTTCGCACGCATTTGAGTGTTTAAAACGGAGATTGTGATTCAGGTATAATAAAAAACCTATTTTTTTGATTTTGATTGTCGTTCCTTAAATGCTATTTAAGCTGTCTAAATTATCTAATGCTTTGATGTGGCTAATTTAGAAGCAAACATAAAGGAAATTGTACGTATGTATTCTGTTGAATAAATACACCACCAGACAAACAAAGATCGCTACAGGCTCATTTCAATCACCGTAATAACGTTTGCAGATATTTACGAGTAGGTATAATGGAGATGCTAGTATGTATGACACAGAAGCAAAATTGTAAAGTTCTTTTTGTTGAGATAGATAGGTGAGTAGTAAAGAATATATGATTATGCAAAACGATTGTGCAAATTTAATCCATTTAATTAAATTGAAACGGCTAAGCCTTTAGTGTAAAAGGAAACCTTCAAATAAGAATACTGGCAGATCTATTGGCGCATACAGAGAGAAGATTTATTTTTATGCGTCCGAGAACACTTTAATTTGCCAAAGACTTTTCGTAGAGCGAGCAGTTGCAGGAGATAGGTACCTATCCCTGCTATGAAGAAATATAAACGTTCCAAACTTTTATCTTATAGGTTTCAATTTAAAAATCAGTATATTCTAATTCAAATTAGTTCTTTTAATCGATTCGAAAGTAAATGGTACGCGAAGAAACAATAAAGAAACAAATTACGGCTATTTACAGACTGGATTCACCCTCCTAAAGTGTAAATTGAACAGACAGTTATTTCTGAAATCGAAGCGTACGTAAGAATAAAAGTTTAAAGTAATTTGCTTTAGTTTCAATGCTTTTAGATATGTATTTTAACAGTCTACATCATAAATTGGTAGTACTTAGTCCTTCCATATCTCCTTTGCTTCTAGGTAAAAACTCAGTAGAACCATTGTCAAAATAAAATACGAAGCGAATCCAAGAAAATGGACTTAGGGCCGGTATTTCAGTACAGTTTAAGTAAAAGCTTAGGCTAAGTTTAAGTAAAAGCTTAGGCTAAGTCAAGTCAAGTTAATCGTTCCATCCCCGTCAATTTATTTACAATGGATGTTATTGATGTTCATGTTTATCCATCCAGTGATGAAGATGATGGAGAAATTGTAAATTTTGTTGAACATCTTGGGAGAAGAAGAAAACTTAGAGTCTTCAGAAACAGGATAATTTTGTGGTGTGGGACGAGCATGAATTTTATCAGCGTTTCAGGATATCGAAACGTTTAGCAAATATTGTTCTTGAGCTAGTTCAAAATGATATTGTAACAAGAACGAGATGGTAATATTTGTAGAGGTACTTATGGTAATTAAAAACTACAAATATACGTTTCAGGAATCATGCAGTACAACCCGTAACTGCATTGTTGCTAACACTTCGGTTCTTGGCAAGTGGTAGCATGCTGATTGTTGCTGGGGACTTTGTTGGTGTCCATAAATTGTCAGTGAGTAAATATATGTGGAAAGTATTGCGTGCAATTGCATCGCTACGTCCCAGATAGGTGTATTTCCCAAATACAGAGGAAGAAGTGAGACAAATAAAAACTGATTTTTATGCGATAGCTCGCTTTCCAAAAGTCGTTGGGGCACTTGATTTTACACATGAAGATAATTTCACCTGGTAATATTTAGCTTTTGAGTGGATATAAAATAATAATAACATAATAGGAGGAGAGCAAGCTGAAATGTATCGGAATAGAAAGGGATTCTTCTCCTATAATGTTCAGGCCATATGCGATGCAAGATTAAAAATACGAGATGTGGTAGCTCGTTGGCCAGGTTCTGTTCATGATGCCACAATTTTTTCCCAATCGGCAATAAAGAATAGGCTCCAAAATAATCCAGGAGCCCTTGCTGACAGTGTACTTGTGGCAGATAGTGGATATGCAAATACAAATTATTGTATTACAAAACTATAAAACCCCACAACTGCAGCAGAAAATTTATTTAACGAATCATTGATTCGCACAAGAAATGCTGTGGAACGTTGCTATGGCGTGTGGAAACGACGGTTTCCAATTCTAGCACTAGGAATTAGATTAAATTTAGTTAAAGTGCAGTATGTAATAGTGGCAACAGCAGTTCTACATAACATGGCTGTTGATGAAAATTTATTGGAACCATCACTACTGAATGAAGAAGAAAATCAAGCAATAGTAGCCGTTAATGACATTCCTGTACAACAACATCCAGGAAATCGAAATATGCAAAATAATATCACAAGATTAAACATAATAAACAGTCATTTTGCACATATGCAATAATTGGGAGTATTTGATAAGTATTTATAAGTTTAAAACAATGTTTACTGGTACAGTATAAATACAGGGTGATTCCTATAGTACCTGCCACCGTTTGGGAGCGTGTAGGTGGTGCGTAGGGGAGTATTTTGATATAGGACACTTGGGGTCGGAAATCTAAAATAAGGGTGCCAGAGCCAAATTTACCTTCTGGAATTTCGCGCCTGTAGGTAGGCAACCCAACCGGCCGGCGGTGCACACGGAGCGATCTCAGGCGGCGATGTGTGGCTGACACTTGATCAGAATTTTGTTTAAACCCACGAAATCCCGTCTGCAACGACGCGTATCAAGTGAATAAACACTATGGCAATAGTATAATAATAGTTGGCTAGATGTAGGAAGTGCATTGAGAACAACGGTGGCCACGTTGAACACTTGTAAACGTTATTGCTTTTGACTGTCGTTTTCCCTCCTTCCCTCCCATGTCGCTTCCTCGCGCTAACTCGCTCTGCATCGCTCCGCGCGAAACGTCGGTCGGTTGGGTTGCCTACATACAGGCGTGAAATTCCAGAAGATAAATTTGGTTCTGGCGCCCTTATTTTAGATTTCCGACCCCAAGTGTCCTATATCAAAATACTCCCCTAGGCACCCCCTATACGCTCCCAAACGGTGGCAGGTACTATAGGAATCACCCTGTATATACAAATAATATTATTCAGCGAGTTGTTTTTGTAATAGCTTTAATTCCAGTTTCGAAATTTCCAATCTAACTGCTTTTTCCTCTATTTCTAATTCCAGTTTTTTTTTGTTCAATGCTTGTTCCTTTTTCAAGCCTTCGATTTGGAGTCGAACCAATTCTTCTTTGCTATCAGCAAGTCGAGACCATTTTTCGTTAGTAACTGTGCCTGTCACGGGGCGTTTACGTTTGAAATCTGCAATAATAGAGCATTTATTAGTCATTAACCTAACACACATACATGCTTTACAAAATTTCATTAATAAAAACAAAAAAGTTATCAAGACGTTAATGGATTAACTCACCACTGACTGCTTTTTTACCATTTGAATGAGATGCACTGCGATTCTCTACAGGTGCAACTATTTGTGCAAAAGCTGCACCATTTATCCTTCTGCAGTTTCGGATTCCTATAAAATGAGTTTCATTGATACAGGTAACTGGCCAAACTATATGTAATAACTAATATTTATATTGATTTATAAAGAGTGTTTTCTATTTAATCGAGTTTTCATGTAAAAAGCGTTTAGTTTAACCGAGAGGTTTGATATAAAAAAAGCAAAGAAAATAGTTCTATTTAGGCCCGGTGTGTTCAATCATGGTTTAAACTGCAGATTAGCTTAAACTGGCGTTTTAAAGCTGTAATTCCTTTTGGTCCATTTTGGGGGGCTTGTGTTTTCAATGGTTTGTTAATCCAAGATGAACTACACGATTTTGATGATAAGCCAATTACTGATGAATTGAAAGGTTTTTTGGAGCTAATGCAGCCGTTTTTGGAACGATGAAAGAACTTCTTCCCAAGCAATCTTCTATTTGCTCGTCTACATCCGTCGTTATTATTTTCTCGCTGGCCTTCCCCAGTAAGCATTTAAAATATCTCTTTTTATTTGCAAATTTTTTCTTTAAAACCTTTTTTTTGCTTCTGAGTGTTTTCGCATCCCTTCCTTGACCTCCTGCAGCATTAAACTCTCAGCCTATGCAGCGTCTTTGATGCGGTTAAAAGAACGAGTCGGTTTTTACACTCTATTGTGCCGAAACTTTTGACGAGCTGCAGAAGCATCCATCGTTGGATCTGAAGTATTACAATCGTGGTCGCTTCCCGTACTAAATTACCATTCTCCATTTCCAAACGTGTTACTAAGCCATGATTAATTACACAAAATACAGACACTATTTCAATCACGAACACCAACATAACACGCTTTGTAAAACAAACAATTTGAAAGTTTGAATAGCGTAAACGTCAAAATTTGAGCGGTTACATGTTGCCACCATCAGAAATTTCATTAAACGCAGTTTTAGTTAAATCTCCCTAAACTGCGAAACTGAGCAACGCCAATTACAAGATAAATGTGGATTATCTTAAACTAACAGATTACCTAATCTGCAAGTTTAAACCGTGATTGAACAACCGGCCTTAGTCAATGAATTAGGGCCGGTTGTACAAGTGTGAAGTTCAGGGATGGTTTAACTAAACTACGCCCAAGTTTTGAGCGTAGTTTTCGTTTAACCTCGTTGTACAAACTGCGTTCAAACTTCGTTTACCAAAACCACAATTTTCTGTTGTTGGCAACGTGCAAACATGCGCATAAAGAATTAATTGGATATTTGTTGTGAATAAACTTAACCTTCAATCAATACTAGTTTATTTATAACGATGTGCTCTAACGAAAAAAAAGTGCGTGCAGCCAATTTTACCGCGAAAGAAGAGGCAATATTAACCAGTTTAGTAAAACAATATGAACATGTCTTAGAGTGCAAAAAAACAGATGCGGTTACGAACCAACAAAAGACCGAAGCCTGGTCAAATGTTGCTCGGGAGTTCAATGTAGTAAACGACAGCCACCGTAGTGAAGCTGTGTTAAAAAAGAAGTTCGAAAATCTAAAGAAAAGGGTGAAAAAGAAACTGTCTGAAAATAAAACGTATTCAATGGGAACTGGGGGTGGTCCTTACAAAGACACCCCATTAAATGACACCGAAGAGGGCATTAAAGATATACTTGGCCCAAGAGCAGAGGGATTTCAATCACAATTTGATGGGGATGCTAGTAAGTAAAAAATGTGTACATTATAAACAATTTACATACATTTTACTACTTCCAGTTGAAATTGAAATACCAGAAACAGACGACCTGCAAGTTAGTAATGGTAAATAAGGACTTCCAAGTGTGTGTGTGGTTCAATATTGTTTCGTTACAGAGATGATAGTAGAGTTTGGTAACGATCACGACTACAGTTCGACCGTAAAACCATCTGCAACAGATGATATCGAAAATAATGGTAGTATACGGTACTGGTCATAAAGTATTAAATCTAAGTTCCTTCTGAATTTGTAGGTGATAAAAACTGGAAAAAGTACACACCTAATATGCTTAAAAGAAAAAAATCAGCTGCGCTTTGTGTAAACACCACTGGTAAAATCACTTTCAGAAATGTACTATAAATACTAATTATTTTAAAATTTTAGATACATCCCAGGGTGTTATTAACAAGAAGATTTCGCAGTGGGCAGAGGCTAAAACAAAACTGGAAGAGAGAAGAATGGAAGGTGTTTTGGAAGAACAAAAAGTAAAATTAAAACATACGGAAGAGGAACATAAGTTAAATTTAGAAATAAAAAAGACAAAATCTGAGTTCGAACTAGAATGTATGAAAGAAGAACACAAATTAAAAATGGAAATTTTGAAGTTACAAAAAGATATGTTATTAAAAAATGTTAAACAATAAGTTTGTTCGTAATATACACTGTACACTATGCTAAGCGATTAAAGTATTCGTGAATAAGGTGATGACGTACAGCATTATTTAGTCCATTGTTGTAATATGGAACATTTTCCACTTCGAAATTTATTTCAGCAGCTGCAATAGCTTCTTGTTCTTCCTCATTTATGTCTGGCAGTGCATCATTAAAGTTCCTAGCTATATTATGTAATACTGCAGTTGCAATTACTATAGCCTCGACCTTTTCTGCGCGTTGTCGAATCCCAAATGACAATATGGGAAATCGGCGTTTCATCACACCAAAGCACCGTTCTATTGGGTTACGTGTGCGTATTTGGGATTCATTGAATAAATTTTCAGTACGAGTGATCGGATTTCTTAGAGGAGTAATTAAATACGGCTTAATAGCATATCCTGCATCTCCAACTAATAAGTACCCTCTAAAGTCTCCATTCTCAAATTGATTTCTTATTTGAGAATGTAAAAATATTGTGCTATCATGAGATGACCCAGGCCATCTGCATACAATATTTTGAATCCTCAGGCTTGCATCACAAACAGCTTGCACATTATAAGAAAAAAAATTTTTCCGATTTCGAAAAATCTCAGCATTGTTACCGGGGGATATAATCTTCACATGGGTAGTCAATAGCACCAATGCATTTGGGGAAACGACTAATCATGTAAAAGCCTCTACTTCTTTCTCTCATTTCTTCCTCTGTGGTAGGCATTTTGATAAAAATGCGGTGTTGACTGGCAATGGCTCGACAGACTTTTGTAGTAAGTCTGCTTGCAGTAGATTTATCGATGCCAATAAAGTCGCCTGCAACTGACAAAAAGCAGCCAGTTGCTAAATACCTTAGTGCCAATAATACCATACACTCGGCACTTACTGCAAAGTTTCTGTAACGAAATTATACGATGTGGTTGGGTGGTAGCTACACTATAGGGTCGTTTTTATACCTGTTTGTGGGATGTGATATTTCTTCTTGTATTAAATCAATTACAAAACGAACTGAATCTTTGGATAACCTAAATCTATTTAAAAATTCCTTATCATTCCACTTTGTAAAGTGGTTATCTCGGTGCCTATATATCTTTGCTGCTCTTCTGCGTCCAATTATATTAATTACTTCTAGGAAATCTTCATCATCTGTTAGTGCATGCAACTCCATTACAATTTGGAGGGTAACAGCATTGATTATGTTAATCAATGGTAACAGGTATTACATAAAATTATAACCTAACAAAACTAACAAATCGGTGACTATGCGCAAAGAACCAAAACTAAGCTTAAACCAACAAAATCGGCTGCTTAAATAAAACAAAACTTAAGTTGCGTTTAGTTGTTGAGTGAAGTATGTACAACACTCTAAAAAATTGAACTGTGTTTAAACTCAGCTTAATTCTTAAACTCTGCTTAAGCTATACTTGTACAACCGGCC